ATTATTCTATACAATTATATAATTCAAGATTGTATAATTTTAATCTTGTCTCCGGGGTATGAGTTGGCATGCACCCCCCCACTTTTCTGTTGACAGAAGGGTTTCATAACTCTACCTGCATAGACATAAAACAATTATCAATTTATAGATTTGCTTTCAAAAGTCACAGTGAATGAAGGAGTGGAGAGAGGGAGGAGGGGAGTGGGGTTCAGGGTATATGGCACACTTCTTGGGAGCAAGACACAACTATGAAAGAGACTTTACCTAAAAAAAAAATCAAATAGTGTCACCTAGTTCTTTGTACCCTCAGTGAACCCAAAACAATTTTTAAAGAGTAAAAAAATAGAGTATAAAAAAAATAAAGAAAATCACAGTGAAAAGACTGCATTAATGGACACAGCTATGATTTAATAAAAATTTTTTTTAAATCACAGTTAAAAATAGGTTTGCAATTTCAGCCTCCAGTTGATTTCTGCTTTTCCCTCGGTGTTCTGCCTTTTGGTACACAGTACCAAATTAACTATTGGCTAAGCTATTAAATTCACTTCTTTCTTGCTAATTATAAATCTAATTCTTCAATTAAAATATAGGTTACTATCCAATAGACCAGGCACTACAACCCCCATAGTTTTATAGGCGTTCAGTAAATTACCTCACTTTTCTTGTAATCAGTAAATATTTCAGCTGAGAGCTTTTTCCTGGTTTGAGAATGAATCAATGAACCAGTAAATTATACCTGAGCAATCAACTATTCCTGACAAGAGTCAGGCTGTACATTGGCACAACACAAAGTGAGTATACACAAAATAGCAAATTTCAGTGCCACTGCTGTTTTCATTCAGCTCATACAAGGCCTAGATTTTGAAAAGTTTGGTGTTGAACTCACAAAAGGAAACTTTGCCAATTTACAAAGGGTCAAACGTAATGGATGAAAAATAAAAACTAAAGTGAGACATACCCAGTGCATGTGCTGTACAAGTCTTACGTTTGTGTGAGAGCAGTCAAGCTGCTCAGGTCAAGCCTTTATTCCAAGCCACTTTATTCCAGTGGCTTCTAAGGGAGCAATCCTAGGCAGCTCACCTTACCTCATTCTGAGTGTTCTCATCTATTAGGTGGAAATAAGACATCAAATAATAATTTCTAATAACTTATCAGCTATGTAATCATTTCATCATTTATAATAGATAATATGAATGAAGTGGAAGGAAAGTTGCTTTTGGATAAGTTACACTAAGAGTTTGAACCCCAGCTCTCTAACTCTCCTTTTACAAGTCACTGTGGTTGAAGTACTAGTTTCTTTTGAGACAGCATCTCACTATGTCACCCTCAGTAGAGTGCTGTAACATCACAGCTCACAGCAACCTCAAACTCTTGGGCTTAAGTGATTCTCTTGCCTCAGCCTCCCAAAAAGCTGAGACTACAGGGAATTACTAGTTTCTTTAACCCATAAAATGAAAACCTACATTGGAGGATTGTTGTAAAGGGATTAATCACAATGTAATTTCTAAAGTGTCCAGGAAAGGGTACCCAGAATATAAACAATTATGAACAATTGTTCCTTCCTCATTTCTGTTTTTTGTAAGATTAAATTCACTGATTCAACACATGAGACCAAGAAACAAGTTCTTGTACCCATGGAGCTTATACTTACAAAGGAGATCACTAACAAGCAAATGAATAGTCATAAAATAATTTAATGTCAGGTAGAGACAAGAGTTAAGAATAAAAGAAGGAGAGAGATGAAGGATCAAGGGGAATATATTATAGGGTAGTCAGAAATGACCTCTCTGATGAGGGGACATTGAGCCAATACCTGCATAAAGCTGGGAATGGGCATGCAGAAAATTCCAGGCAGGAAAGAGCAGCAAACACAAAATACCTACAGTAGAAAAGGGCTTGGTGAGCTCCAGGAAGAGCAAGGAGGCTGATGGGGTGGGTGGGAGGAAACTAGGGCAGAGGTTTAACCAGGCAGATCCAGAGGTCCAGGGAGAACATGGGAGGGTTTTGAAGTTCAGGCCAACTATGCTGGAAGCCATGGAGGGTCTGAGCAGAGGGAGGGCATGACTCATGCCCACTCAGAACCACAGAACCAGCCAGAACCACTCAGGCTGCCATGCTAGGAGTGAGAGGTTATTACTGCAGCCCAAGCAAAAGATGACAATGGCCTCTCCTAGGGCATTGCCTGTGGAAGTGTTGGGAAGAGGTCAGAATTTGGATCTAATTTAAAAGTAGAACTGACAAGGTTTTCTGCTAAGGAATGGAGAAAGGAGAAGGAAGGACTCCAAGGGTTTAAACCTGAACACTTGGGCAAATCACAGTACTGTGTACTCAGATGCAGAACACTGATGGAAAGCAGTTGTGTGAGGAGGAGGATGTGAAGCCATTCAGGATGCTCGGGTTGCGACGATTTTCATTCAAGTGAGATGTCAAGTGGCAGCTGGGTGTGTGAATCTGAAATTCAGAAAAAATGTCATGGCAAAGAAAAATACATAAGAGTCACCAGTGTGAAGAATGTATTTAAAGACATGATAGTAGCTGAGATCAAGGGAATGAATGGCTATCTGCAGACAGGAAGATGTAAAAGTGAACCTGAACTCTGGTGCATACCAACATTAGGAGATTGAGTAAAGGAGAGGAATTCAATACAGGAGAATTACAAAGGATGAATGAGCTGTAGGGTAGAAGGAAAATCAGGAGTCAAGTGAGACAAACAAGTCACAAAGGAAAAATACAATAGAAAAGAAACCACCATGTACAGTGCCACCCACGAGTTGCATGAGGAGGCAGCTTAGAATAGCCATTATGACTAGCAATATGGTATTTTTTGGTGGCCTGGCCAAGTGCCATTTCAGCAGACCACTGAAGATGAGATAGAGACAGAGGGGATTTAAGAGAGCAGGTGGAAAAGGTATGTGGCACACGGAGACGCCTCTTGAATTGTGTTATCAGTGTGGACACAGCAGTGGTATAGCATAGAGGTGCATAGGGGTGGGGAATTTGTGGCCTTCTAGGACCTTAATCAGTATGGCTCTTTGACTGAATCCAAATTTTACAGAGCAAATTCTTTTATTTTTATTACTACTTTCTTGTTCTTTTTATATTTTATTTTTAAAATGAATGTATCTAAAATACCAAAGAATAAAATAAGGTTCAATGAAATAATCCTCCCTGGTTGACCAGCACAGTTAGAACATTAGTAAACCATAACGGCCAAATTGATAGCTACCATGTTATGATTTAGTTCTAACATCCCCACCTGACTGGTGCCACTATTGCAGTAGGCTGGTTGGAGACAGTTTGTGAGGGTGGAGTACGCCAGTCTGTTACCAGCTTTGACAGCCGTGTACTGTGTTTCTGTATGAAGTGGAATTTGTGAACAGTTGCACAGCTTGGCAGTATTTGTAAGTTCTGTGTTCTTAACAGCCCAAAGACGACCAAGAGAATGCTGACAGAACAACAACGTTTTAAGGAAGGTTCGGAATTACAATATTATCTTCTTTCTGCTAAAGATGACCTGCTTGCTTTGTGATACTGCAATATCAACACCACAGAAATTCAATGCTCATCAGCATTCTAACCTCAAAAGAACCACAAATATTTTAAATTAGAGGGAAAAGCATGAAAGGTCATACTGCAGAAACTAAAAGATGAAAAGCAAAAGCAAAGACAATTCTTCCAATCAGCAATAAGACCTTGAAATAATGCCACTGAAGCAACTTATAAAGTAGGCTATGTACAAGGGGGGGAAGGAAAGCCATTCCGTTATGCACAAATTGTGAAAGAAATGCACTGTCAAAGGTGCAGGGTGTCTAGACCAGGACAACATTTCAAAGTACAACCAACTTCCTCTTTTAAAGAGAACCATAACTGATTAGGAGCATGAATTAGACTTCACCTTAACAGAACAACTCCATGCAATATTTCAAAAGGAAAATACATATTATTCAATTGCTCTGGGAAAATACATATTATTCAATCACTCTGGATGGATCAGCTGTTAATTACTCAGCACAAGTTTTATACTTTAGGTCATGACAGATTTTCTTTGCTATGAAGAGTTACTGGCTTTGGACATCTCACAGACCAAACACTGGATTGCATGTCTTTAACAGCTTTCAAGATCACTGTCCTGAAGTTGGACTGTATTTGGTTAATTTAGCGGGCATATGTACAGAAAGTGTACAGGAAAACATGAAGGACTTATTGCACTGACAAGAAAAGCAGTAACAGATCCAGATGTGCTCATTCCTTTTCAGTGTACCTTGCATCAGCAAAATCTCTGTTTTAAGTGATACTTTGCAACCAGCCATGAGTCTACTTAACTATAGTCATGCAAACGCATCAACATGGCGTCATCAGTTTCCTAACATGCTAAAGTTGAATGACGAAGTATTCAGGATAGATTTGCCTTATCTTTCTGAAGTGCCTTAGCTATCATAGGGACAGGTGTTTTATCTCTTTAAGAACAAATAGTTAAATTTTATGAAGAACAGAATCAGCAATGTGAATTATTGAAAGATAATATCTGCAAATATCTGTATCAGCATTTTTGCATGACAGTGTCAAATCAAAATGGCTTAAATATTTCTTTGAAAGGAATTTTAAGTCTATGTATGATAGGTGACAAAAACAAAAAGTATTTCCAAAAAAGCTATCTTTTTTCAAAATACTTCCTCAAAGGGAAATTTGGGATGAATATTTCCCCAGTCAGCAAACATCACTGATGAGATATGCAAATAGTCAGAAGAATAAGCAGCTGTTAGAGGACTGTTAATTGGAGAATACAATAAAAGGTTCACTAACGTGGAGACTCATGGCATCCCACTCAAATAGCTGGATAGAATTGATTGACGGTACTCACAACAGCTGACTTTTGTGGGTGAAGAAAAACAGAGTCTCTCTCCTGTCACTGGGACTGGAGTACAGAGGTGTGAACATAGTTCTCTGTGATCTCAAACTCATGGGCTCAAGAGATCCTCCTGCCTAAGCCTCCTAAAACGCAAGAATTATAGGCATGAGCCACAGCACCCCACTGAGAGTTGATGTTTTAAATAGGCCTTATAGGGAAGACCTCTGATAAGAAAACAATTGCCTAAAATAAGAATTAGCAAATCATAAGCTATGTAGGAGAAGTTTCCACAAAAAGTGTTCTTGATACGCTTAAGAAATAATAAGGAGATGTTATTACATGTTAATATACTGATGGGAATAATCCAGAAAAGATCCAATGAGGAGAAAAAGTTGGTGACTCAGGCAAGAGATGGGACAGGTGCATCTCCACCTAGGATTAGAGCAGAGGAGAAGGCCTCAGGGAGGAGCAAAGGTGGGGTTCCTGGGAGTCTGTCTCAATTCATGCTGGCAGGTTATCAAAGTTCCCTCCCTCCTGCATCTGTTTTCTCAGTGAAATACTACTGTGGAGCCGTGCCTTCACCACCATGTAACCAAACCGCACTTGAACTCCATGAGTGTGCACAAAAAGACTTTTTTAAAAGAATATTATGGCAATATGTGGTATGACAGGAGAGAAGGGAAAAAGGGAAGAAGGAAGAATGGCCAAGATGATTAAATGCACTACTCATGTGTAAGTAAGTTGGACGTGCTAACTTAAGCATTCTGAGAATGTTGGCAACACGTCTCCTCAAAGCACTTAGACACCAGGTAGAGAGAATGGGAGGTAACTGACTGTAACAGTGTAGCATACAACACAGAACCAGGAGGCAAAAGAGATCGGAGTGTGAGCGAGCACACAAGACGGAGTGTCGTCAGCATCAGTGCCATGCCTCTGTCCAGCTTTCATTTATTTTTTAATTGAAAAGCAAATTTATTTCAGGTTCATGTGAGGGTACAACAACCAGGTCAAAATATTTTATTTTGTTAGGTAGAGTCTCTCTTGTATCCCACGCACAAAAGTTGTGCCAAACACCCCACCCCATGCCCATTCAGTGAGAGCACCCCACCCTTCCCGCCCCCACATCACCCCTCCCCCAACTTGAATTGAGTTTTTCTCATATATGAGCATGTATTAGATCATCTACTGGCCTCATATTAGTACTCAGTACATTAGATAATTGTTTTTCCATTCTTGTGATACTTTACTAGGAAGAATGTGTTTCAGCTCCATCCAGGATATTACAAAAGATGTGAAGTCACCGTCTTTTTTATGGCTGAATAGTATTCTATGGTGTACATATACCACAGCTTGTTCATTTCTGAGTTGATGGGCATTTAGGCTGTTTGCCATTTTGGCGATTGTAAATCGAGCTGTGATAAACAATCTAATGCAAATGTCCTTATGATAAAGAATCTAGTTTTCTTTCTTCTCAGTAGATGCCTAGTAGTGAGATTGTGGAGTCAAATGGGAGGTCTAATATGAGTTCTTTGAGGATTCTCCATACTTCTTCCCAAAGAAGCTGTATTCATTTGCAGTCCCATCAGCAGTGTAAAAGTGTTCCCCTCTCTCCACGTCACGTCAGCATCTGCAGCTTTGGGACTTTGTGATATGTCTATCTTTTAAATATAACTAGCTTCTACAGAGCTAGTCATGATCTGCTATCCAATTTAGCTTCACTCAGGTTAATTCATCCCAATACAACTTAAGGCACATCAGGAAAGGCTGTTATAGCTGCCTAAAAAGATATATATATGTCCACAGGGTCTAAACATATATAGAGAGGACTAAAAAGACATGGACTCTGAACATCTTGGGGAAGGTGGCTAGAGGCCTCATCAGGACCAGCACTCCCAGTGCTTCCTGCTTACAGGTCTCCCGTCCTCAGACTAAATCTTCAAGGACAAGGGTCACCTTTAAGTCTTGCTACACTTGCATTATAGTCATCATCCCTGGCTTGTAATAGATTTTGAATAAATCTTTGATGAATGAAAAGATGAGGAGATACAAATAAAAAATCAAAATCAATAAAATTCTAGCTAAAGCACAAAGATAAAGAGAATAGCACTAACAGAATTTCTTAGGATTTGATGACATTTGGAGGCAGATGTTGGAGTGGAAAGAACTCTGAACTGGGGAGTCAAAACACATGAGTTAACATTTAAAGTCTCTCACTTTTTTATCTAGTAAAACTTGCAAAAATGCACTACATAGTGGGATTCAATTATCTCATTCTCTAAAACATTAAAAGCTACCCTTACCCCCCACCAATACCAAGTCTTTACCATAAAGATAAAATTAAACACATGAAAGCCCTTTGTAAACTGTGAATTAACCATATGATAGTTATTATTAACTCCCACATAACTAATAACTCTAATAACTTGCACCAGAGAGCAGGAACAAGGTGCATATGCAGTTTCAGCAACACAGCAAACAGGTATTAGTGAAACCAGATCATCCACAAGGATTTTGCACGGGATTGATATGACTTATGAAATGCAGATAGTGGCATTAAGCAAGATAAAGCTTAAAGGAAAATGTACAAAATCATTCACTCTGAGTATTATGAAAACCAAATTATTCTTTCCTCCCAAAAGTTGTCATCCAAATTTCATCTAGATGGAAGTCCTTTAAACTTGACTGATACCTGATATCAATCAAAGATGTTCAATTCAACAACTATTTAATCTCTAGACTAAAAAGTTGTCTAAGAGGACATTTAAGGTCTAGCCACATTTATATGTCTTTTAAAAATCCCCACTGAAATTCTTAGAAATTTCTCAGTGTTAAGGTCACGGCTCCATTTTTCTAACTCTCTGCATGAAAACTGGGTTCCTGAAAGGATCAATAAACTGTGGTATATGTACACCATGGAATACTATGTAGCCCTAAAAAAAGGAAGACTTTACCTCCTTCATGTTTACAGGGATGGAACTGGAAAATGTTCCTCTTAGCAAAGTATCACAGGAATGGAAGAAAAAGTATCCAATGTACACAGCCCTTCTATGAAACTGATATATACTTCTCAAATGAAAGAAACAACTTAATTCTAGCCCAAGAATATGGGGAGGGGGTGGGGAAGGGGAAGGGAGAAGGGCGGCTGGGTGGTGGGAGGGTGACCAAAAAGATCACCTATATTTCTGTCTAACAAGGGTACAAGTGAACTTTTCTAG